GCCCCTGTAGTCCCAGCCACCCAGGAGGCTGAGGCAAGATCATATGAGTCTGAGAGTTTGAGGTTGCTGTGAGCTATAATGCCCCAGCACCTTACCCCAGGGCGACTGAGTGAGACTCTGCTCCCCCAAAACAAAACTATTAAAAAATAAATAAAAAATAAAAATAGTCAGGCATTGTGGTAGACGCCATTAGTCTCATCTACTCAGGAGGCTGAGGCAAGAGGATAGCTTGAGCCTAAGAGCTGTAACACCATAGCACTCTACCGAGGATGACAAAATGAGACTCTGGAAAAAAAAAAAAACAAAAACCAACAACCAAAAAAAAAATCTCTGGCTTATGCTAAAGACAAATTATTTAGTGGTACTTGTCAAACATGGAAGGCAGACTACAGGACCGTCAAGATGGATATACGAGGTTGGGCATGGTGGCTTGGGTTGTAAACCTAGCACTCTGGGAGGCTGAAGCAGGTGGATTGCTTGAGCTCAGAAGTTCAAGACCAGCCTGAGCAAGAGCAAGACCCTATCTCTACTAAAATAGAAAAACTAGCTGGGCATTGTGGAGGGTACCTATAGTCCCAGCTACTTGGAATGCTGAGGCAAATGGATCACTAAAGCCCAAGACTTTGAAGTTGTGTCAAAGGATGAGGATGCTATGGTATTCAACTCCAGGATGACAGAGTGAGACACTGCCTCAAAAAAAAAAAAAAAAAGAAAGAAAGATAGATATAGGGATCGTGGCATTAAAATTCTGCAGTAGAGAGGGAGATTGGGCTCAATGCTGAATACTGCATGGGCAAGCGGGAATTTATAACCAAGGAGCAGGTTGGGTGTCAGTGAATGAAAAATTACTAAGAGGGGTGGTACCTGTGGCTCAGTGAGTAGGGTGCTAGCCGCATATACCGAGAATGGCGGGTTCGAACCCGGCCCTGGCCAAACTGCAACAAAAAATAGCTGGGCGTTGTGGCAGGCGCCTGTAGCCCCAGCTACTCGGGAGGCTAAGGCTGAGGAAAGAGAATTGCCTAAGCCCAACAGCCGGAGGTTGCTGTGAGCTGTGATGCCACAGCACTTTACCAAGGGCAACAAAGTTAACACTCTGTCTCTAAAAAAAAAAAAAAAAGAAAAGAAAGAAAGAAAGAAAGAAAGAAAAAAAAAAGAAAAATTACTAAGAGGTAACATCAGAAGTTACTTGGGATTCTGGCTAAACCCACCTAACTGGATTCTTGCTTGGCAGGTCAGGGTGATCAGTCATCACTTGGGGTGGGAGGGTGGGGCAGTGAGGAACCTGAGCAGATACTGAGGGTGGGGAGCTCTTTCTAAACGGACTTAATCTATCTACAAAGAAAAATTAGGAATTACTTTATTATAAAATGTTCCTAGAAGTCTTAATTGTGTTTATTTTTAAAAAACTGTTAGACTTGTGTGCATGGAAGTAATTAAGGTACATCATTATTGTATTTTAAAAGTTGTACACAGTAAGACTTTTTTTTTTTTTGAGACAGAGTCTCACTTATTAACCCTTGGTAGAGTGCTGTAGCATCACAGCTCACAGCAATCTCCAACTCCTTGGGCTCAGGAGATTCTCCTGCCTCAGTCTTCCGAGTAGCTGGGACCATAGGTGCCCGCCACAACGCCGGCTGTTTCTTTGTTGCAGTTTCGCCGGGGCTCAGCCCGAACCCACCACCCTCAGTAGATGGGGCCGGCGCCTTACCCACTGAGCCACAGGCGCCGCCCAACATTTTGTTTTTACTGTATGTTTTTACTGAACCATCTATTCCCCATCCCAAGGCAAGGATGAATAAAATTAGCTTAAATGTGTAGCATGTGGCTCACAGTCTCTTAGAAAATGTTTCATCTATTTTATTTTATTGACTATGTCTGTATTTTTGGTTTATCCTGTTTGAAGAAAAAGAACCAATAAAACATGGCCAGCAGAAAACAAACAACTGACTTAGCAGGGTTCTTGCTAAAACTGTATTTGATAAGGAAAAGCACAGATAGGTCTAGGAGAAGGTGCAGGAGCCTAAAGTTTGGTCAACCAATCTTTGTCACCCACCACAGTGAAACTCACAGGTTATCTTTTTGGCTCAGGCCTGGCTTTCTGCCACATTGTCAGGCTACCTGTTTCTTTCCTCCCTATTTCCCAGCTTCCCTCACATGGTAACAAATTTCTCTTCATTATGCTAAGCAATCAGCATTTACTCACAACTGTAATGCATGTTCCAGGCAGCTCAAGGGAAGAAGGCCATAAACTTCCATCCTGGACTTTTACTGATACAAAACCAAGAAGAATCCTTTAAACTTGTGGTTTTTAAAAATACAACCTGATCTGGGCAGCATCTGTGGCTTAGTGGGTAGGGTGCCAGCCCCATATACCGAGGGTGGTGGGTTCAAACCTGGCCCTGGCCAAACTGCAACAGAAAATAGCCGGACATTGTGGCAGGCACCTATAGTCCCAGCTACGCAGGAAGCTGAGGCAAGAGAATTGCCTAAGCCCAGAAGTTAGAGGTTGCTGGGACTATGATGCCACAGCATTCTACCGAGGGCAACAAAGTGAGATTCTGTTTCTAAAAAAAAAAAATACAACCTGATCAAAAATTTAAATTTTAGGCTCGGCGCCTGTGGCTCAAGTGGCTAAGGCGCCAGCCATATACACCTGAGCTGGCAGGTTCAAATCCAGCCCAGGCCACCAAACAACAATGACAGAGGCAACCAAAAATAGCTGGGCATTGTGGCAGGTGCCTGTAGTCCCAGCCACCTGGGAGGCGGAGGCAGGAGAATCCCTTGAGCCCAGAAGTTGGAGGTTGCTGTGAGCTGTGATGTTACAGCACTCTACCCAGGGCAACAGCTTGAGGCATTGTCTCAAAAAAAAATTTTTTTAAATTTTAAGGAATGGGCTCTCTCTTTCATCTAAGATGAAGGAAAACAGTCATAATAATCATAAGATTACACACAATTATTGCATTATTATACATACATATATTCTCAGTCTGTCCATCGCAAGACTCAAGTGACTGGCTTGGCGCCTGTAGTTCAGTGGCTAGGGCACCAGCCAGTTACACCAAAGCTGGCGGGTTCGAACCCGGCACAGGCCTGCCAAACAACAATGACAATTAAAACCGAAAAATAGTGGGGCATTGTGGTAGGCGCCTGTAGTCCCAGCTACTTGAGAGGCTGAAGCAAGAGAATCGCTTATGCCCAAGAGTTTGAGATTGCTGTGAGCTCTGATGCCACAGTGCTCTACCGGGGGCAACAAAATGAAACTCTGTCTCAAAAAAACAAAAAAAGACTTAAGGGATGTTAGCTCATTTTTTCTTCCATGTACAGTGCATGCATCTGTCAGCAAGGGTCAGACTTGTCCTGACGGCTAGTTGCAGTCAAGTTGTTCACCATCATGAATGGATACCTAACCATGACCTTGTTTATTCTCTATCTTCAGCCTAACTTGTCTTCACTACTTCCTCTTGTCCTCCCTGCTCAATGTATCTGGGTCTAGCTCGCCCACCCCTGTGTCTGAACTTTGGGGCTTGGGTGTGTCACGGTTTATTTCTTTAGTTGTTTCCCAAGTGAATCGGTACTAATTTTCTCAGCTAGCCAAATTATAAAGTTCTTCAGGTCAAAGAGCCAGGTCTTAACTGAAAGGCCTGTGGTGCGTACCCACAGATGAACCAAACAAGGGAGAACTCCAAGGCCAGGTTTAATGAAGAGAACCAGAGAAGGTAAAGCCTGAGAAATAATCTGCCCAGAGGCTTGGCTTAGTGGTTGGTTTCCGGCCATATGCACAGGGGCTGGTGGGTTCGAACCCAGCCTGGGCCTGCTAAACAACAACAAAAAATAGGTGGGCATTGTGGCGGGCGCCTGTAGTCCCAGCTACTTGGGAGGCTGAGGCAAGAGAATCGCTTAAGCCCAAAAGTTTGAGGTTACTGCGAGCTGTGACTCCACAGGGCGACAGCTTGAGACTTCGTCTCAAAAAAAAAAAGAACCTGGGCGGATTGGCTCAGATACCGTTGCTTTTTGATAGGGGAAGAGAGAGAAGGTGGAAGGTGGTTGAAAATCTGATTGGTCCATGCCAATGCAAATTAGGTATTAAAAATCAACCAATCAGTCTTGTTCCACCATGCCCCTCTGAGGCACCACGCCCTTCCAGGCCAAGGAGGTATTGGACTTTGACCAATCAGGTGGCCTTCTGGGGGCGTGTTTATCCTCTGGGTTTAGGAAGGTTTGTGTGTGTGCCCAGGTTAGGTCACCGGCAGTCTCAAACCCCCGGTAATGTGGTACTTAAATCAGTGTGCGGTATGCAGCATGAGGGTAGTATCTACCCTGTCAATGGATTGATTAATTAGGGTCATCTGTGGTTCCCTCCCCAGTGTTTGGAATGTCAGAATCCTAATATGGGATACTCAGGGGGGCAAGGAATAATGCACGTCTCAGGCTAGGACTGAAGAGAGAGTGTGTGTGTGTGTATAGCTGTGTTGGGAGGGGTGCGGTTACCATCAGTCCTTAATGTTACAGGTCCTTGAATGTGATTTTTATCAAAGCTTACTCTGAGTTGATCAGATCAAGGCAAACCACCTCAAAGCTCTCGAATAATGAGATTAATCTGCATCAGAGAAACAGGGTCCCTCCAAAAGCCTTGTCCCAAATCCAACCCTGGGACCCTGCTTTGTCTGTCCCCATCTCCCCTGTTAGAAGCTCTTTCTTTTGGAAGCCTCCCCGACCCCCCGAGAGTGGCTCCAGCACCTCCCTACCACCGCGGGAGTCACCCGCTGTAGACGGGACCCAGGAAAGTCTTGAATTAACACCTCCCAGGGTCTGGCTGAGGGCAAGGAGCTGGACGTGCTTTTGCTCGATACTAACAGGAGGCTCGACTCGCCAGGCAGCTCGGCCAACCCAGAGGCCCCGCTCGCCTGCAGCCCGCGCCGCCGCCCGCTGCCCAGCCGGGGCCTGCGCCGGCGCGGCCGGGGGACGACGCCTGCCGCCATCTTGCCCGCCGGAGCGCCGAGATGCGGCTGGGGCTCCTGGGCGCCGCGCTGCTGCTCTTGGGCGGCGCCCACTTCAACTCCGAGCACGACTTGCCCTCCAGCAGGGGCAGGCTCGGCCCCACGTGGGGACAGGCCAGGGGTCCCGAGAGGGCTAAGGCCGCGCGAGGCCAGCTCCTGCCCCAGGAGGAGGAAAGGGGGGACGCGAAGGGCAGTACCTGTTCGTTCCCGGATGGGCCTTTCCCCACTACCATAGTGTCTGGATTTGGGTCCCTCTTTCTCTTGTCTCAACTGCCTTTATCCAAAATGTTACGGACCTAGGCAGCTTCTAGGCTCATTATAACGATGATGGTAGTAGTAATGTCAAAAAAGACAGGTATTTGTATATTTGCGCCTCAAAACCTTCTGGGGTTTATCATTCCCATTTTGTTATAGTTCATTGAGATTCAGAGTTGAAAGGGCTGTTATGCGACCTGTTCGTACTACAGTTGAGAAAAATTAGCCCCACAAGTTAAACGGCATGTATTAGACCTTGCAGCTTTTGACCCACCAGGCCCAGTCTCTTTAATCGCTATTTTCACATAGAGGAGAAAAGGATTCCTAGCCAGAGAAACTTACCTCATTTTTATACTTTTAGGGAATAGAGTTTTGAAAGTAATGAACTGTGTTGATTTCATGTGTATTTGTTAAGTAGTCAGTTATGGGATAATTATTTTAACTCCTTTAAAGAGTCAAAATATGGGCATGCCTCAGGTACCCAGTTTGCTTTATCCGTTTTTAAATAGGAATGTAAAGGGTTAACGTGTTCAGATTAGGAAATAATATAGATTCTCAGTACAAATAATTTATCATTTTTGTTTTTAGATTGTGGAAAAGCGCCGCTTAGGGATGTGTTGAAAGGGCCTCGGATTATAGGGGGCACAGAAGTTCAAGCTGGAGTGTGGCCATGGATAGTTAGCCTGCAGGTTAAATACGGCCGTTTTCTCGTTCATATATGCGGGGGAAGCCTAGTGAGAGACAGGTGGGTCCTCACAGCTGCCCACTGTACTAAAGACTCTAGGTATGTATTCGGAACACAACTGTTTCATTCTCTCAGGGTTTATTCTGAAGTGATAGAGGATAGTTTAACTTGGGCCATTTTCAGTTATATGTTTGCAAGTAGCCATAATGGCTTAAATATAGTAGGGTGTTATTTGTTGAAATAAATCCTTTAATTCAGAAGTTGGCAAATATTAACTATATGTATAGTTAATATTTTACGCTCTGCAGGTCATATGGTCTCTGTCACAATTACTTAACATGAAATCAGCCATAGACAGAGTATAAGTGTGGCCATAATCCAATAATCCTTTATAAAGTGAAATTTGAATTTTCTATAATTTTCACCCATCACGAAATATATTTTTTCCAACCTTTTAAAATGTAAAAAAAAAAAAAATCTTTCTTTATGGATTGTAAAAAGCAAGAGGCAGGACAGATTTAGCCTTCACTGTTGAAAGATGACTCTTGTGGGTGGTGCCTGTGGCTCAGTGGGTAGGATGCTGGCCCTATATTCTGAGGGTGGCGGGTTCAAACCTGGCCCCAGCCAAATTGCAGCAAAAAATTAGCCGGGCCTTCTAGCGGGTGCCTGCAGTCCAAGCTACTTGGGAGGCTGAGGCAAGAGAATCACCTAGGCCCAAGAGTTGAAGGTTGCTGTGAGCTGTGTGACACCATGGCACTCTACCGAGGGTGATAAAGTGAGACTCTGTCTCTACAAAAAAAAAAAGATGACTCTTGTTTCATCTGCATTGGTCCATAAAATCCAAATGCAATCAGATTTTTATGGCCAAATGCTAGATCTACTTCTGTCCCGAATCCAACAATCTCTTCTCAGTTCCCATCCTATTTGATTTCTGCAGCATTTGGCAATGTTGACCATATCTTCTCCTAGAAATTCCCTTTTCTTGATTTCTTAAACACTCTACTCTTTCTTTTCTCCTTCCTTGATGAGTATTTGTCATCGTTTACATTGCAGTGTTTTCTTTGCCACTATGCAATATATCCACGTGACAAAACTGCACTTGTAGTCAGGAGCTGGGGTTCACGCCTATATCCTACCACTCTGGGAGACCGAGGCAGGAGATCCTTTGAGCTTGGGAGTTGGAGACCAGCCTGAGCAAAGCGAGACACCGTCTTTACTAAAAATAGAAAAATTAGCCAGGCACATCCCTGAGTCTCAGCTTCTCAGGAGGCTGAGGCAGGAGTATCACATGAACCCAGGAGTAGGAGGTTGGTGTGAGTGTGCTCTCGCCCAGGCAACAAGAGTAAGACTCTGTCTCAAAAAACCAAAACCAAACCCAAAAGAATTGCACTGTACCACCTAAATCTATGCCTTTTTTTTTTTTTTTTTTGAGACAGAGTCTCAGGCTGTCACCCTGGGTAGAATGCTGTTGTGTCATAGCTCACAGCAACCTCAGATTCCTAGGCTTAAGTGATTCTCTTACCTCAGCCTCCCAAGTAGCTGGGACTACAGGCACCTGCCACAATGCCTGGCTAGTTTTTGGTTGTAGTTGTCATTATTGTTTGTCATTGATTTGAACCTGCCAGCTCTGGCGTATTGGCTGGCGCCCTAGCTGTTTGAGCTACAGGCGCCGAGCCCTATGCACATATTTTAAAATCTGCAGCATTTTCTAGAGTTCTGCCCTCTATCTTCTTGCCTTATCACTCTGTCCTCTTTCCTGGAAATGTGTCATCTACCTCTGTTTCAGTGGTCACCACGTGCTGGCAACTCCTAAATCTTTCCTGCTAAGTCTTTTTTCTAACTCTGTACTGTGCATCTGTATTGGAGTCACATTCTAAACAAGTCCAAAACTGAATTTTTTAATTTTTTTTCTGTAACTGTATTTCTTCTCTATTCTTTCACTTACTATTATAGCATCACCAACAGTTCCACTGCCCAGAAAGTTACTTGATTTCTTACACTTTACCTATGCAAGTGGTCCCAAGGCATGAGGTCTCTCTGAGCAGAACCTCAAATTTGCTTCCTCTGTCCCTAAACCCTGGCTGCCACTTAGAAGTCTATGGTGTCAGTCTCATACCCCTAGCTTATCACTTGCGCTACTTATACTACTAGTATGATAACAGCTATCCTAATAAGTGTGAAGTGGGAGCTCACCGTGGCTTTGATTTCAATTTCCCTTATTACTCTCACAACGGAGGTTCAGCATCTTTCCACGTGCTAATTGGCTATTTGAATATCTTCTTTGTAGAAATGTCAAGTCCTGGCTCGGCGCCTATAGCTCAACCGGCTAAAGCGCCAGCCACGTACACCTAAGGTGGCGGGTTCGAATCCCCAGCCCGGGTCTGCCAAACAACAATGATGGCTGCAACCAAAAAATAGCTGGGCGTTGTGGCCGGCGCCTGTGGTCCCAGCTACTTGGGAGGCGGAGGCAGGAGACTCGCTTGAGCCCAGGAGTTGGAGGTTGCTGTGAGCTGTAATGCCATGGCACTCTACCCAGGGGGACAGCTTGAGGCTCTGTCTCAAAAAAAAAAAAAAAAAAAAAGAAATGTCAAGTCCTTTGTCCATTTTGGGATTGGTCTGTTTTTTTGTTGTTGAGTTCTTTATATATTCTAGATTTTAATCCCTTATCAGGTATATGATTTGCAAATATTTTCTCCCATTCTGTGGGTTGTCTTTTCATATTCTTATTTTTTTGAGACAGAGTCCCATTTACTTGCCCTGGGGTTGAGTGCCATAGCGTTATTGCTCACAGCAACCTCTAACTCTTGGGTTCAAGTGATTCTCTTGCCTCAGCCTCCTGGGTGGCTGGAACTACAGGTGCCCACCACAACCCCTGACTATTTTTGGAGACAGAGTCTCACTCTTGCTCAGGTCGGCCTCAAACTCGTGAGCTCAAGTGATCCGCCTGCCTTGGCCTCTGACAGTACAAGGATTACAGACGTGAGCCACCATGCCCAGCATTTTCACCTTCTTGATAGTGCCCTTTGATACACCAAAGATTTTAATTTTGATGAAGTCCAGTTTATGTACTTTTTCTTTTGTTGCCTGTGCTTTTGGTGTCATATATAAAATCATAACCAACTCCAGTATCATAAAGCTTTCCCCCTGTGCTTTCTTTTTAGAGTTTTATAGCTTTAGCTCTTACGTTTAGGTGTTGGATCCTTTTTGAGTTAATTTTGCGTAATGGTATAAGGTAAGAGTCCAACATCATTGTTTTACATGTTCATATCCAGTTTTCTCAGCACCATGGGAGTGAGACTCTGTCTCAAAAAGAAAAGAAAAGACTGTCTTTTACACTTTGGATGGTCTTGGCACCCTCACTGAAAACCAGTTGATCATGTAGGAGAGAGTATATTTATGGCCCTTCAGTTCTTTTCCACTGATGCCAGTGCCACATTGTTTTGATTATTATGGCTTTGTACTAAGTTTTGAGAGTCCTCCAACTTCATTCAAAAAGAAGAAAGAAAACCACCATTCTTTTTCAATATTATTTTAACTATTTGAAGTCCCTTGATATTCCATATGAATTTTAGGTTGGATTTTTCTATTTCTACAAAAAGCAGTCATTGGGATTTTTTTTTTTTTTTTGAGACAGAGTCTCACTATGTTGCCCTCAGGTTGGGTGCCGTGGCATCACAACTCACAGCAACCTCCAACTCTTGAGCTTAAGCGATTCTCTTGCCTCCACTTCCCAAGTAGCTGGGACTACAGATGCCTGCCACAATGTCCGGCTGTTTTTTGTTGCAGTTGTCATTGTTGTTTACCAAGCCTGGGCTGGGTTTGAACCCTCCAGGCCTGTTATATGTGGCTGGCGTCCTAACCACTGAGCTACAGGCGCCGAGGCAGTCATCAGGATTTTTGATAGGAATCAAATTAAATCTGAAGATTGAGTTGGGTGGTTTTCTTTCTTCTTCTTTCTTCTTCTTCTTCTTCTTTTTTTTTTTTTTTGAGGCAGAGTCTCACTTTGTTGCCCTCAGTAGTGTGCCATAGCATGACAGCTCACAGCAACCGCCAACTCTTGGACTTAAGCCAGTCTCTTGCCTCAACCTCCCAAGTAACTGGGACTATAGGCACCTGCCACAACACCTGGCTATTTTTTTTTTAAGAGACAGAGTCTCACTTTGTCACTCTTGGTAGAGTGCTGTGGTGTCACAGCTCACAGCCAGCTATTTTTTTGTTGTTGCAGTCATCGTTGTTTTAGCTGGCCCGGGTTGGGTTCACAGAGGCCAGCCTTGGGTAGTGGCCAGTGCCCTACCCACTGCCCTACGGACACTGCCTATTTCTTTCTTTTTGTCTGCCCTTTTCTTCCTCTTCTCCTGAGTGGCTTCCTGATAATATGGGCTTACACACAATCCATTATGCCTTTCATTCCACATCATAATCTTTCAGTGTCAACTTCTATATCGCTAACTGGCTTCCTCATCAACTTTTATGATTATATACCTGAATGGTCAGACCTAGCTTTTTATTGTAGGCAGTATCACCGTTGTTCAACTTATGAATAAATCCTTTATCAGGCAGCCAGCCCTGTCACAGAGAGCAGTTGGCAGGGGAACTGGGTCACGTATTAAATGACAACAGAGTGGGGAAGGCACTTTTCCTTGCACAGGGATATGGGTATACAAGCGCCAATGCCTGTTTCTAGAAAAGGGGGACAGCAGGTGTTTTTAGTCATCTCTGTGTAACTGGCATGAGAAAGAATGGTTGTGGTACAATCACATTGGTGTCTATTAGAACTTAGAACTAGAGGCTTTTTCCTATAGCCAGTCCTAATTCGCGTTAGCAGAAATGAACTTTTGGACCAATTTTTTTTTTCAATTTTCTCATTTATCCACTTATTTTCATTTTTTTCTTTTTGAGACAGAGTCTCAAGCTATCCCCCTGGGTAGAGTGCCGTGGCTTCACAGCTCACAGCAACCTCCAACTCCTGGGCTCAAGCGAGTCTCCTGCCTCAGCCTCCCAAGTA